CCTTTTTGGTGAGTTTAGTGGGATGCAATTACATTGTATTTTCACTTTGTCTCTCTCTCTCTCTCTCTCTCTCTTGATTTTCTGTAATTACTCATCTGACTTGAATCTCCAAATCTCCCTTCTGCCCTAGGATATCCGTTTTTATCTTACTGGTTGAATTAACTCACTCGGTTCCTAATAATCTCAACACATACTCATTTGGTGCATAGCACTATCTTCAATTCTACCGGAAAACGCAAGTTACCTAATTGACAGTCCTACCAGGAAAGTGTGGATTGGAAGAGACTTAGCATGCTATGAAAGCCAAGACCCGTTTTCAAATCCCATTTTGGAAGATGAGATTGAAACTCTATTCCAGATTGAATATGCCTTTTCTGAACTAAAGCTACGTGAACTTCCATTACAAGTGTCTTCCAGTAAAGCCACCGGAGAGCTGACAAAGAGGAATCAGCTTCTCCTGTAGAGATCGACCTTCGATTCACTTCATTATACACTTTCACGCAAATTTAAGGTTACGTCAAAAACTCGTTTTGTATACCTCCTAACATCTATAAAACTTGCAACCACCCTCATCAGACTTATAAATTTCAGTCAGGACTTATCCAATTAGGGCTGGAGCACTTCCATTTCACTAGAGGTATGCACCATATCATCAGAAACCATACAAGATGACTTCATTTTCTTAAGGTCTCAAGAATGCCAACAGATCTTGCATAATGGATGTATTCCCCTATTTTGTTTAAAGCGATGAAAGACGAACATTTTAATTTTCCCACGATTATATGGGTGGGTCTAATGTTTCCACTCAATTTGACATAGTTTGGCTTTTCCAAAGGTGTTATCATCAATGTTGGACCGTTAGGCCTCATCTGCATCCGTTCGCTATGACTACTGCGAAACTGCGGTTCTGCCTGGATAAACATACATTTTTGGAAGCCAGACTATGTAAAATTGAATATCAACATGAAGTCTGCTCATATAATTGTGGGAAAATTCAACTACCACTCTCTCATCACTTTAACTGAAATAGGATGACCACAACTATTTAAGGTGTTTTTGATGCAGGAAACCGGGCCAACCTTGTATTGGGCAGCGAGGGCTCGCTTCTCGCTTGCAGTCGCCACCATTTCGGCTTGGTCTTCGTCCCGCGCCTCTTCGTAACCGTCGAACCAGTCGTGCTCAGCCTTGTCGAGCCAGCCAAGTAGGCGTGTTCGACAGTCAGAGTACGAGGACCAGCGGGACAATTCGTTCTCGGTCAAGCGAAGCGCCTCGTTTAGCCGATCTACGTAGTTCTCCATGCGGAGACGCAGACTCCGTGCTGAATGACGCAGTTTGTCACATGCCTCAGTCACCAGAGCAGCGCCAGTAGCAACCACACCACTGGCAGCATTGGCCGGATCAGGAGACTCATCTATCAAGGCCTCGCTCTGCCCTAGCGACGCTGAAAGCAAGCTGAGCAGACGTTCACTGGCCCGTTGAGTCGAGTCGATCTCATTTCTGCCTGCTTCACATTTGTCCACAAGACTCTGGATTAAAAAACAAAGTTAATTATGTTGTTTGAAACAACTGCCAGTCCTCTAGTACCTTAAACCTAATAAGATAAATAAAACGCTCATATCAGTTATACCTACTTATAAAAGAAAATAAGTAACGTAGTTGATCGATATAGCAAATACAATTTTACTCAATCGACAATCGCATCACATTAATGTGAGCTGGGAAGAGCCTAGGCCTTCTTAAATCCATATTAAACAAGTCGAGGTCAAAGAGCCAATATGAATTCTAAGGAAGCCCAAAAATATTTTTTCTATCACATTCTGGGGTGGGATTAACGATGAAGCAAAGTTTTAATTTCTATAGCAATCTCTAGATTACTTATTTTTCGTTTATAAGTAGGCTTACGAGAATACCAATAGATTATATATCTGAGACCTATTGTTAGACTCGAAAATCTACTTACAAAGGAAAAACAATTGAATTTACCTCAGCAAAACCAGAAGGAAGATTGTTTTGTGTTTATGATTGTCAATTTGTCCAGAGAATTCCTCAGAGCATCCTCCTCCATAGCCTTAAATGGCTGATGGCGACTCGAGATCTTAGTTATGATCTTCTGTCGAGTTTCTTACTGGGCCGAAAGAGAGTCCATATAGGAAGAATGGAAAGTGACTTTTCCACGCCTATAAAAGGCCATTTTGGGGACGCAGCATCAAGAGAACTTTACTGCGGATATATTGCGCAAAGTCTCTCTACAGCCCAATTAGAAACCATGATAAAGCTGTATATCTTAACAAACGCTAGTATCAGGATATCTTTAAAACAAACAAAAAGATCTTCCATTTTTCTCCAAACCAAGTAAAATGGCGTTATTGTGTAATATATATTTCCGTAGTCGATCCTTTGGATTGTCACATAGGTAACAGCCGAGGCAATTTTTTAGTCAGTTTCAGAGATTTTAATGCTGAGCCTGTGTGAAAAAGGTATGTGATGTAAGCAAGCCAGGCCTCTTGTATTTTGCATTTGTTGATGAGGTAACTTGCATTTGCAAAAAAATCGACCTCACTACTAAACAAGTAGTGAGTAGTTTTCAAGCATATCAGTAGGTCGTAATGCAAGCATTTGACTTTTTTCGAAAAAAAGCATTGTGTATTTGGTAACGTCGCCGAATATAATGGCAACTACAAGTTTACCACATCAAAAATCCCATTATAAATGTAAAATAGAAAAGGCTCATCCTGTGGATAAGGTCAAATTACCAACCTCAGCAAATGATACTGTTTAGGATCCAGTTGGGAGTACTGCTAAGATAGCAATGCAAAATCGGAATTGTAGTTTATCCTGGATGAGAAAATAATGTAAGTTTCAACGA